TAAAATATTATTACAGAACTTATCTTTAATACAACCTATTCCATTTAATTCAACCAAGTGCTTCTCAAACAAAACTTGTTAGACTTTCTTTAAAATAAGTTCCATGACGAACTGGAGTTTATAATTATGAGAGCTTCTGGCAATTGCACTTGACTAAGAGCGCTGTTAACAGTTTTTCTCACTATTAGGGTTCATTATGTGCTTTATGGCCGCAATTCTATCCACTATCTGAGACATCTGAGCCAACTTTAGTGTTTTCTGACCCTTGCGATGCGCACTCGTATATTTTTTATGATTTATGGGAACGTGCTTGGCTCATTTCCATTCGCTCACTTTCGGCAACATTGTTCTTCGTTCTTCTCCCCTCCTCAATGGGAGAATTCTCCGGCGTTCTTCTGGCGCCTTCTGCAGCCTCGAATGTGGAAGACAAGTACCCGAGATCGTATCATATATCGAGTTGCCTTCCTCCGTCTGTCTGTCTGTTTTTTTCCTCCAAACCAGCGATTCTTTTCCTCTTGGGATTCTTTTTTTTTACTCTTTTTTTTTCCTTTTTCAGTTTTGTGCTGCAAAAACCTCCCACTTTTCTCTTTTTGGTACGGGAAAAAATTTAGACATTTTGTAGCCAGTTTATAGTTGGTAAGGCATCGGAATGGTCTGGCTTTCCCCTCCCCTTCACTTATTTTCCCCGCTTTTCCTCACTCTTTTTCCTTTGCAATTGAGGCCTGTTTGGTTTTCGCCCATAATTTTTGTGCCGTTTTACAACAAACGGGCACATAACTCTCAGACTCGTCGACTTATGAACGTTGCCTGGAATATTCCGGTCCGGGCTTATCTTTCGGCGCCGGGCAACATCGTACCGCTTCCCCCCTTCCCCCTCCACCTCCCCCTGTCTTTATCCCCCTCCTCCCCAAAAACGAACCCCAACCATATATAGCAAATACCCATGGCTTTTTGCCATGGGTGCAAAATGATTTTCACATGTTTTCCTTTATTTTCCTTTATCTCTGCTGTCTCTTCGCACTTTTGTTTGGCTTGCATGTGTTTTTACCACTTTTCCACGTTTTCCCTGTCGTCCAGCTGCTTCTTCTTCTTCTTCTCCATCTTCATTTTCTTCTTCTTCATCTTTTTCTTCTTCTGTTGCTGCCAAGTGTTTGGCTTTTAATTAAAATTGCAGCTAAATTATGAACTTTTCTTTTCTCGACCGCCTGCAAATTTTCTTTTCGATGGTCTGGGTCTTTGCCTCGACCTGAACCGTATATCAAAAAACAGAAAAAAAAATGAAAAAAAAAAACCGTCAGCATTTTCTCTGCCAAGATGTGCAAATTTCGCTGGGCAATTGAGGTTCTGCCCCCCCGGAATGGAAAATCTCGACAGTTGAAAAAAATAGAAAAAAAACCAAAAAAATACTTAATGGGGCCGCAGCAAATGAACTGTGAAGGAAATTCGCGTAAAAATGCGTTTTATTGTTAACCAATTAAGTCGATCGATCGGTTGCATTGCATACGTTCCATGCTTGAGTAAATCCCACACACAAACACACACACACACACAAACACACATACTCACTCACATATAGACTCACAGATTTTCACAGATTTTTCCGGGGGCACCGAAAATTTATGTGCTACTTTGGCTAATCGGCGGTAGCTTCGAATATTTTTTTTTTTTTTTTTTTTTTTTTTTTTTTTGGCTGCCTTTGGGGTTTCTCATTCGACGGCTCTTCTAATTGTCTGCCAATGGAATTTATTTGCGGGGGCCAATTCCCCCGGTGGAATTTTTCGCGGTTCGCAGTTCGCGGTTCGCTTTTCATCGCCGCCTTTTCAAATCGTTTGGCTTATCGTTCCGCAATATCGACTCAATTACAATGCGTGTCAATGGCAATTCCACAATGGGACGCTTCGCCGAAGGCCATTTTTTTTTTTTTTTTTTTTTTTGGGAGGGTTGGGGTTTCTGAAGGGGACTCCAACTGTCGGACATTATCATCATTATTATTATTATTATTAAATGTGATGTGGGGGAGATAAGGAAGGAGCTCTTAATAAGATTCATATTGACGCAGGAGCAGTGACAATGGAAGCGCAGACGAAGATGAACACAATAATCTTCCTGCTCGCTGTGAAACTCAGATATTTGAGGGAAGGTCGAACTGGAAATGCTCTTATACTTAAGTTTATCATAATTAAATATTTTGGATGAAGCTGCTACTTTATTACTTAAACTTCTTCTGCCAAAAAAGCCTATAGGTTGAAACAATTTTAGTGGCAATAGAAGTGATAATTACTCGTAGAATCAATTCAGTTATTTTAAATAGCATTTATGTATTAAAGTTTTTGTGTCAATATTATATTATATTTTTTTCTGAAGCTAAAAAGAAAACAATCTCAAACTGAATAGTTTATTAGAGATAATAAAATACATTTACAATTCAGTATTTTTAAAGAACCTGTAAGCTTTTCAATTTATTAACTATCTTCACTAGAAACTTTATGAATTCGAAACCTGCTGTTGAATAATTCACAGCACCCCTTCCATTCGACACAAGATCAATATTTTAATTCTCTGTCGCCTTATCGTAATTCCTGCAGTCGAAACCGAGTTGAAAGTCATGATGGCCGACCCCCATTTTTCCCACTTTGTGGCCTTGACCCTTTGGAAGTTTGTTGAGGGGAAAGGGGAAGGGGATGGGGAAGGGGAAAGGGGGGTGAGAAGTAAAATCCACTTTAAATTGTGCAGCGATGACGATGACAATGTGGATGCCTCAAATGGAGGCAGCAGGGGCACATGTCGTGTGTTGTCTGCTGTTGGGACACAAATACAAAGTCCTTTCGCTGTTTATTCCTCATGGCCTCATGGCTCCAATCTCCAGATTCGTTGGCTGTTGGCTGCTGGCTGTCTGTCTGTCTGTCTGTCTTTCTGGCACTTTTGGTCCATTGTTGCTGCCGTTGTTATTATTTGCCAAATAAGCGGACGGCCAGCCGCGTGTCTTCCCTCCTGCCACGCCTTCAATGCCTTCCACTGCCTGCCACGCCCACCGCCTCCGAGGCAAGCTCCTTTGTTGTCAGCCCTCGTCGATGATGCAGACATGAGATATGAAAAATATGAGCCAACAGCAATCACAATAGTCGCACCAGTCACCAAAGGCAATCACCAGACCCCCGTAACCCCCGAAACCCCTGAAACCCCCAATCCCGAATGACCCCCCCATCCCCCCGATGCCGAAAAAATAAAGCCCCCCTTGACAGGCGCTCATGCGTGGGCATCGGTGGACAATCGCAGTAAATATATTTGTACAAGAACATAAGGGGGAGCGAAAATAGCAACGACAACTGTACGATTATGTCTTTGGTAAATGCCTTCAAAAATGTTTTACATTAGAATTTTATTGGTAAAATGTATTAGAACACATACTTATCAATTATAATTACATATATTATAAAATTTATAAAGAAAAGGTGTTAAAGATGGGTTAACAATTAAGTTTGTTATTACATAAACAAATATACAATAAAATTACAATATGAACTTTTATATTTTTCAACAAATGATATTTTTTGAATTAAGTCACTTAACTTAATCAAAATCCATACGAATTTTAATGTACCACTCATTATTTAACTTACCTGCGTTTATGCTTTTTCGTAAAGATTTTATTGGTAAAGGTTTTAATATAAATGTTGTTACATTTATAACAAAACATTAAGCCCTCCCAAAAATCAACAAGAGTTCTTCAATTTTGACCGCAACTGTTTGATATAAGCGAAGAGGACACGTGTGTGTCTGTGTATAAATCACCCTTAATGCCTTTCGCAAAAAGAAGGGAAAGCTGGGAGGGGAAAGTGGCCAAAGGAAAGTTGGAGTTGGAATGGAGAGGCGACCTCCGAGTTCTGAAAACAGGACAGCGTCCCAGGAACACGATAAATTGAAGTCAAGTGCTGCCAATTAGTTGCTAAAATTATTTTATGATATTTTCCGACTAATTAAATGAACATTTACGTTGTCGTCTTCTTTGTTGTTGTTGTTGTTGTTGTTGTTGATGTTGTTGTGAAAGTGGGCGGTCAGTCTGCTGCAAAATCGATAAGAAGCAGCGATAAATAATGTAATAAAAAATACAGAAAATAAAGGTATATATATAGCATCCCACAAGATGGCAAAGTCCCCCCGCCCCACCTTTCGGAAGGTATTTTTTCATCAATCAAGGGAACAACGGAACCCATAACAACAACAACAATCAATCATAAGGAGGAACGGGGGATAAAGGAAGGGGGGGGGGGATTATCCTTCGGCCCCGCACCTGTCCGAAAAATAGAGCACGTAACAGTTTCCCATCGTTATTAATTATTTATGAAATGTTCGGATGGATCCAAGCATCCCAACATCCCAACATCCCAACCCACCACCCACCGCCCATCATTCGGAACCCAAAAAGGAAGGAAAAATAGGAAAAATGGGAAGGAAAACTAGGATAACGGCAGGGACTGCCATTAAATGATTAGCTCTCCTCGGAACCGATGGCGTTATCCTTGATTATGGCCAAAAGGGAGCGGGTTAAGCTCGTTAGCCAGTGACGCTAATTTGCCCAAAACAATTCGCAGCCGATGGAGCAAACTGTTTGCGGTTCCCATGCGTTGTCACTTGGAAAAGCATAAAGGTGTTGCAGAAAAAAAGGAAAAAATAAAGAAGCTACTAGAAAATCAGGGAATATGTTCACATAAACTAATATTTATTTGCCATAAATTATATCTCATAAAAAATCTCTTCTAAATTAATGTAATTGAATTTTTGCCTAATGAAACCCATCCAATTTAAAACTATAATCAAGGGGATATGTTAACATCAATTTATATGTTTCTAAAAACTAAAGCTTAATCTCAAATATATCATAGGTCTCTGTAAGTTAGATAACTTTCTTATACATTAAGCTATACATTCTGAATAATTTAAATAAATTTTTACAATATCTTATACATAATTATTTACGAACTCCCTCCTCTTTTTTGCAGTGTGCCAGTGCAACGGACACGCCCGTCGCTGCCGCTTCAACCTGGAGCTATACAAACTATCTGGTCGGGTTTCGGGGGGCGTGTGCTACAACTGCCAACACGATACTACCGGAAGATACTGCCACTATTGCCGCGAGGGATACTACCGCGATGCCACCAAGCCGCCGAATCATCGCAAAGTGTGCAAGCGTAAGTTGGGCTTTCTCCTCGTACTTAACTGATTGAATCCAAGACAGCTGGGAATTATTACAAGTAGGTTATTGAAATAAGCACAGCGAGGTGTTGTACTTTCCACCGGCAGTTGGTAACTCAGATATAATTTTATTACTATAATTATTTTTAAAGTACATTTAAAGAGTAATGTTTTATTAGGAAGTTGTAGTCAGACTTTTATGTGGCTTACCTGCATTTATCTACTTTTAATTTTTTAAGAGAGGTTAAAAGATTAAAGCGAGATATTTTAAAATATTATTTCGGAACCTAAAACCTTCCCTCTTTATTCTCTGTGTAGCAACATGGTAGCATATTATGTTATGTGTGTCAGGGGCATCGGCTGTCACTGCAGGACTTACGAATGTCCGAACTGCCACAGCATTTGGCCCTGTTTATTGATAATAAGCTGTCATCAATCAGTGGTCCCATGAGCTGTCTGTCTGCCAGAAAGACAATCAGGCGGAGAGACAATCAGACAGATGGACAGACATTCGCTGTAGATGAAGAGTCGCTCTAATGAGGATGACATGTTTCTGAAGCTCCCACCTCCATTTTCATCGCCATTTTCATCTCCATTTCCATTTGCAGGCTGCGATTGCCATCCCGTGGGCTCGACGGGCAAGACGTGCAACCATTTGAGTGGCCAGTGTCCTTGCAAGGAGGGCGTCACCGGACTGACTTGCAACCGATGCGCCAGAGGCTACCAGCAGACCCGCTCCCACGTGGCACCCTGCATCAGTGAGTTGCATCTGCGAATACACGAAAGTCATGGTTTCTAATTCACTATTTTACCTTCCCCCCTTTACCCCCCTTTACCTCTTTTTCCCCCCTTTATCCCATTTCCCCCCTTCATTTACCTTGCAATCAGCAGAAGTGCCCACCAATGCGAACATGATCCAAGCGGAGAGCGCCGGCGGAGGTGGCGGCGGGGGAGGAGCGGGCGATTACAAGGACGGCGGCGGTTCGCAGGTCGAGGAGATGAAGAAGTGTAAGTGCACTGGGAGAAAAGTTGGTAAAAATAGCACACAGATAATGAATTATTGTGTTACAGACTGCGGCAAGTGCAAGGCGAGTCCCAAGAAGCTCAACCTCAACAAGTTCTGCATGGAAGATTATGGTGAGTTAAATAAATATTAATAAAAATAAAAAATAATAATAATAATAATAACAATATGTATATATAGATACTTTAAAATGTTTATAGATATATTTATATGTATGTAGTTAATAGTTTTTTTTGAAATAAATTGTTTCTGTTACCGAATATTAATATGATTTCAAAATCTCTCCCTTTTGTCAGCTATTTTGGCGAAGGTAATTGGACATGATCGCGCCTCGCAGGACATCAGCACGGAGAAGTTCTCGATAGAGCGGCAGAATGAGATCTACAAGTACGAGATCAACATCCAGACGATCTTCAAGCGGAACCCCATGTCGGGCACAACCAGTTCTCTGCTGGGAAGGGGCAACATGATGCTCCTCGTGCCGCGCAAGAGCATCGAGTGCCAGTGCCCCAAAATCAAGCTAAACAAGTGAGTGCAACACTAAATAAACTATATTTATTATTTATAAACTATTATATTAGCTACTTGCCATCTGAAAATAATAGAAAGATACAACAAATTTAAATGTACTGAGTAATTCATGTAATTAATGTCAATTGATAAAATAAGTTATCTAATGAATCTATTGCACCACCTCATAACTTTAGTTTTGTCAAATCATTTAGTTGAGAATACTGGTTATATTCTCTTATAAAAATATCATTTCATATCTTTGGAATTGGATGATAACTGGCATTCTAATATACAAAACTAAAACAAAATGGTTTTTCTACCCAAAATGAAAACAGAGTGATTATTTACTTGCGAGCTAAATGAAAGTAAGAGTTTTTCCCTGAAAACTATATTTATGAGTTAGGATTAAATACATATTTTACCTCTTGTGCAACTAGTGTCATAAATATCATAAAGATGTAATGGTTAGTTTCAGTTTATAGGTATGACATTTTAGGCTTGTCGTATTTAATGCCCCTCTAAAGTGGTTAACCCTTTCCTCTTTCCAGGTCGTATCTGATCCTTGGACGTGACTCGGAGGCGGCGCCCGGGTATCTGGCCATCGGACCCAGCTCGGTGGTCCTCGAGTGGAAGGACGAGTGGTCGTTGCGCATGAAGCGCTTCCAGCGGCGGGCACGCAAATGCAGTTGAATCGAGCCGGAAACGGAATATGTCAGAGCGGATTTCAATTTCACACACTTGGCTAGGTATCGGTTTTTGTATAAATTGTACAGTTTACTCAAGTTTCTGACCTTCTTCGGCATTATGCTATAAATTAATCGAATCCGGATCAAGACCCCCTAACTCCCTAATCTCCTTCACCAAATCAGATGCAATTCCCCAAACCGGAAGTTAAAACCACATAGCGGAATCCCATCTATATAATCTCAATCTCAATTCCTTTCTTCCGGCGTTTTTGGTATCTAATTCACAAAGCGCTTCACACGGCAAACACAGAAAACAATCGGAAAACAGACGGCAGACACAATGTATTATCCCCACTTTATTGAGCAAGCCCGCCAAATGCTAATTACAGTTACAGTCACTCTTCAATGGGCGGAATGCGTGGGCGTGGCAGTGTGTCCATAACGGTTTATGCTGGCCATAAAAAGAAGTGCAGTTATAAATTGAAAATAAGTGCGAAAAAAAAGAGCTGAAACATCGGGCCAAAAAGCGTCGCGTGTCGTTCAAACGGAAATTGGAAATGTTGGTAAGAGAGGGGGAAAAAAAGGGCGGGAAAAGGGGGGAAAGTGGGGGGGGGAAAGATGAACAAACAGGCCACGTCGACACATAAGTGCAGTCATAAACCAACAAACACGGGCCTTGACCATCTGCCCAGCCACAAACTTGCCAATATTGAGGGCACTCCAGTGAAAATGGGTTTAAAATAACAGAATATTTCCATATATTTTACTTCCCTTTAATACCATAATTTCCCTTCAAATTAAATTTTGTTTCAAGCTAAAATTATTCTTATAAAATCCATCAAATGATTGAAAAACGTTCAAAAAAGCCGTGAAAAAACCCTGAAATTTTAATTAACCGAAAATCTATTACAAATGCTTTTATTTCCATGTTAATCGCTGAAAACCAAATCAAATCAAAACCAAATCTTTTTGAAAGGGAAACTAAATACGAAAATTAGTTAACATTGTCTATATTTTTCAATGCCATTATTTGTTTTAAAAATTAGTCATCATTGTTTAACAAGTTCAAAGTCATGTTTATTTATTTTATTAAAAGATCTATAAAACAAATTAATTTTTTGTTACCTTGGTTGCTCTGAATTCCCCTCATGATTTTTCAAATGTTTTCAATTATTTTTTTTTTTTGTTATTTTTTTAGCTTGCCATTCGTAACCGAAAATTGATTCAATTTCCCATATTTGCCAAAACGCTGTTTAATATTTACCATTTGTTGCTTGTCCAACCATGAAATTCCTTCTTGTTTTTTATTTAGAACTTTTCCGGCTATAAATTTTAGTTTTCGTAAACGTTTTTTTCCAGCAGTAAAGTGCTTCTCAAGAATTTATGCAAACAGTTTTTGCCCATAATTATGCACATGTTTATTGACAAACTGCTAGTTGATTTTTCACGCGCTTTTGCATACCAATTTGTTTGATGGATGCATCAATAAAAAGCCAAGGCAGCAAAACCGTATTTAAAATGCATTTATTTGAATTTAATTTTCAATTTGAATTATGCATGCAAATTGTAAGCGCATCGATTCATTTTCGCTCTCTTTCTCTCTCTCTCTTTCTCGCTTGCTCGCCGGCATTAATCCGATTCAGTTCGGAATCGAAGGCGTTAAGAGTGAGATCGAGGTGTTATTGAGGGGCATTGAAGGGGAAGCACCGGTTGTAACTCGTTTTTTGAGCATATGTGTAGGCCACGCAACACTTGAAACTCATCCCAGGTAGACCCTCTGTACAGTGAACTCCGGTTAAGAGAGAACTCCGAAATTTTCGATATATATTTCCTCCATTACAATTTTTTATTGCATTTATACAATCTTCAATTTGCTTATGTTCTTATATTTTAATTTAATGACAATTGCTAATTTATTTCTCGTTTAGAATAGCATACCTATATAGTTTTTAGCAAACTTCTGTAACTTGTGGTGTTTATACCCGTTTTCATTACTGAATGCTCACTGTACTGCTCGATAAGCATCACAGGCATAAAACCAACAAAGCAACAGACAACATGAAACACGTAACACAAATTAAACAGCAAAAACAAACAGAAAAATGAGCTTTCGGTAACAAATTCACAGAAAAAAAACAAAACCTTCTTGAGATCCACTTTAAATTGGATTTCTATAATTCATAGAAAGCGAAACAAATATTTGAATAATGTGCCAAAAAATAATGTTTTATTAATATTTAGTACCTTATAAAATATGAATATTGAATAGATTTCTGTCTGTGTATACAGTACAAATGAACTTCGTGGGTTGAACGAGTGATATGCATGCCTCCCTGACAAAAAAATCAAATAAAAAGAAAAAAAAAGTAGAAAACCGGCGAACCACCGACGATTGCAGTTACATTTTTTCGATGTTGCTGCGGATTAAACATGTTTCGGTCTCAAAATGTAACATGATATATGACAGCCAAGTGTCGAACTTGATAAATGTTTTAATGAATTTATTTTCGTGTTTATGTGCTGGCTTTGAATAATAACTGGCGAGTGACTGAGTCGAGAGATCTTTTTGGCTGACTTTGCCACGACACCTACTCTCATTCCCCTTCTCCGAAGCCGATGTGTCTGTCCGATGTGAGTTACCTCCGACTTCCAGCTTCATTTTCCATTCACCCCGCTCAATTCCCCCTGCTCCGTTCAGAAGTTGTTCAGGTCCGAAGACCGTGACCATGATGTATGATAAATCAAAATGGGGGCAACATATGCAGGGACAGTCCGCGCCGGACAGTTAACATGCTGCGGCATTTAAGCCGAGATTTGTGTTCGCATTTGCAGTCGCAGTCGCAGTCGCAGTCGCATTCACTCGCCCATTCGCCCAGGGACGCATAATTAGCTCTGGCTCAGTTGCTGTTTCTGGCCATGCCATCTGGATCTGCCTGGGATTCGTATCTGTATCTCTGCCATATATGTTTCCCTATCTCTTTCTCTTTTGGTTTCTCTTGCTGTTGCTGTTTTCCACTGTTTCCCACTGGCCAACGCGGCGTATGAGTCATGAACACACGTGTGCTCACCGCAGGCAACACATTCAAACAGACAGGACACTCTTCGGGGAGCATGTCCTGCAGCAAGATAAATGCAAAATTGTCAACTGTTAACCGTATACATTTGTACACAATTTTATGCAGAATGCTACCCTGCACAATTCAGGATTGTTCGGCAAACATAAAATTCAGAGTTTTTGTTTTCAAAGACTTAAAAGCTTTTCCAGTACATTTATATAAATTTTTATTACTTGCTAAAAATACTTCATTTTGATTAATTTATACTTTATGCAAATGAAAATTCAATGCAACATAAATGCCACAAATATTTCGAATTCATCTCATTTAATTTCAAAAATATTTTAAGATCTTCTAATGCCGCCACTCAATTGTGAACAAATATTGTCTCGCCGAAATAATAATTTTGAAACACATAAATAAATTTATTTACATTTAATGTGTGCCATCAAATTTCAAAGTACCCCTTTTGAATGGACGCTTAATGCCCATATTTTGTAGCGCACAAAGGCATTGTTTCCGCTTTTCGATCTTATTAGGGCCGAGAGCATCCAACCCTCGCCATTTGGGGCAACCCCTTACCTGGAATTCCCGAAAATGCCGTCAAATGAATGCCACAAAAAAATGGCTCGACAACAGAAAAGAACAGAACCAAACATAACAGCCAAAAAAAAAAAAAAAAGGGAATAATCAAATGAGAAATTCAATTGTGGCCTCGGTCTCTCGTCGTTTTTGGTCTCGTCGAATGTGGACGGCTTCATGCCTTCATGCATATTTAAATGAGATTTTGCGTTAACTGAATTTTTTTCAGCGGCAGCCCCTCCGCTGGGGCTGAGGGGGCGTGGCCAGTCGGAAATGTGGGCGTGGGCGGCCCTGACAAGAAAAAAAAACATATTAATTTATATAATGTACGTGTACGCACAGAGATATAAAACATTTATATAGATTTAAATAAATTGGGTTTCGCTCATTCTTTTCATTTCATTCTCTCTCTTTTTTTTTTCGTTTGCAATTTTTGTCGTTCATTTAACGCACAATGGAAAGGGAGGGGCGGAGGGTGTAGAAGGGGGCGTGGCAACAGGCGTGTTGTCGCATATGTATTTTAAATAGGATGCAGGCCCCATTAGCATATAAATTGACGCCGCGACAGTTGAGTGGATAAAAAGGAAATCTCTTAACCGTTTCGAGGGGCTTTTTAAAAAACTGAAAGGGTGACTCGTAACTGTTAACTAGCATTTGGTAAAAAAAACAGAGGAAAAAAACAGAAAAAAATACAAAAAAATAATAATTGAAATGCCCACCAAATATCACAGACAAAAACACTATTCGTACTGAAAAAAAAGAACAAAAACAACAAAAGCCCCCAGCTGACAAATTGACTTCCGTTTCCGCTAATTCAAAAACAAAATGAAATTTCTTCGAAAGAATGAACTTAAGTACTTAAAGAGAGATGCAAACATAACCAAATTAGTCATTAGTTGATATGTCAAGCCGTTTATTTATTTACACACATTTTTTTCCTAATCTAATTATTAATTATAAATTAATACACCTAAACGGAATATATTTATAAACGAACTCGAAGCGAAATGAAATGAAATGTATTTATGTGTTATGAAAACCGGAAAGGAAATGGAAAGAATTTCTTCTTTTCTGTAGATGACTTCCCTTTTAGTTTGCAAATGCATTTAGCATGGCCTACTAATCACATATCCTTCGACCACACACACACACACAAGCACACACACAAGTAAACACGATTAATTATTAAATAATGTTTTTTTTTTTTGTCAGACTAATATGAATATCATGCGTGTGTGTCCAAAACGAATTATTCATATGGTAAGCTAAATAGAAAAAGAAAAAAGAAAAAAACACAAAGGAATACATAAAACGCATAAATGCATATAAAACATAAATATAATCAAAAATGAAACACAAAATGAAAGCAATTTTTTTTCTTAGATTTTTTGTAAATACTCAAAAAACGTAACGAGTGAAGAAAAAGAAGAAGACGAAATGGTAAGGCAGATAGAACTATATATATACATATATATCTAGATATATATGTATTGAAAAATTGATTACAATTTCGATTATTGCTAATTATTATGTTGAACCATAAATTGCACACACACACTCTCTCACCTACACACATACACACACACACTCACACACAGGAAAAGGCAGCAAAAGAAAGCAAGAGAAATTCACATTGTCTGATATTAAAGTATTGTAGTTGGTACTTATATAATATATATATATATAAATAAATATTAAAATACAATTAATCGTAATACATAAAGTATGCAATTTTTGTGGCAAAAGAAAAAAATATATCAAAGACATGCAGACGGAAGAGAATCCAAGTTATATATATATATCATTTATGTGTACTTGAAAAAGTAAAAAACCGAAAAACAAAGCAAAATGAGCATGAAAGTTTAATCGAATTAAGTGGACAAATTGCTAATAATAATAATAAAACTAATAACGAAATCAAGTCAATTGTTGTGGTTTTTTTTGTGGATTTAAAGGATTTGTGGATTTAAAAGAAAGGTAAGAAATAAATATAAGCAATGTATACATTCTTAAATAAAATAAATATGTATTAATCTTGATTATTTAATCTGAAGCTAAACATTTTATTTTTATTTATTTATTTATATTATAACTATTTAATAAATATGAATACCATCAGGCGAATGCAATCTTATGAATTCCAGTATCTCTGAATTTTCAGGCACTCGGAGGTGCGGCAATAAAGTCGTCTGGTTGGGAGGACTCCCATCAGGATCTCTAGCTCGAAGCACTTATTAGGATGTCTCCTTTCCGAAGAGGGGAGTCCATATTGATTTTGCATTTGCATAAGCAGTTTATTGTGCCAGGGAACAGCCTGTGGAACTCCACATCTTTAACCTACCTCCCCCACTTTTTACCGCAGGAGCCCAGTTTTCCCCGGGAAAAGTCCGAACCGCACCGCATAGTGCTGCATACTTTTCGGGGGCTTCGCACTCGGAGTCCCGAAGGTATGGGAAAACTTGCCACTTGCCAGTTGTCCTTGCCGGGTCCAAAATTAATTTAAAGCGCAATTTAAGTAAAATTTCCGCCCGGGGGCCATTTCTTAGTTTTATTTGAGCTTTGCTCTCAGGTCCTGCGAATCCTGTGAATCCTGTGAGCGGCAACTGAAACTAATACGCATATTTATCAAATTTCACTGCCCCGGGGCTTCTACTTCTACTGCTGCTGTTGCTGTTGCTGCTGCTTCTGCTTCAGAGCTTCCGTTGCATTCGAAGTTGGAGTCCTGCCTAAATGTACATCCATCCAGTGTTCTCCTGGCTGCCCGGAAAATGCCTTGCAGCGCTTTCTGTTTCGGCAACAAGGACTCTCGGGGAAAAAGGAAAAAAGGAATGAGGCAGTGTGGCAGCGTGGCAAGCCGACCGCAATGCAAAAAGCGACGGACCAAGTTTTTGGTCTGGCAAACTTGACAAAGAAATAAAATGCGCCGACTTGTAAGTGGCACAGCACGTTCGCTGCAAAAATAAAAGCTCGACCAGGGGATACCTTAAAATCACGTAGCTGCGAAAGTAAGTTGCTGTCAGCAGGATGATATTCAATTTTCTGCGACTGTGGGCAAGTGTATTTACGGAATGGTAAAAGCCGAAGAAGTAAATAACTGTCAGCATGTCACTATAAATTCGGTTTGAACACTTATTACTTTTGCTACAAAGTATTTGCAAGTTGAGTTTATTTGAGTGCTTATTAACTACTAAAAAGGAAATGCGGGTGGCGATAATATAAATATTTTAATTCACTTTAAACGTATACTTTTTACAAGAAGCAAACATAATTTTATTATGCCATTTTCCCTTAAAAATATTGAGTAAAACCAACATATGGTTTTGGTAGGCATTCCACATTTCGAGCTTGTTTATGGGAAAACCCACATATTATATAACGATAAAGATTCATCACGGACTCGGAATAATTGAATAAAAGGCCCAGGGTCAGTCGAACATGAAAAATAATAATCCGAGCATTCTAAATCAATACTCTCCCCCGCCGAAAAGGTATCATGCCAAATAAAAAGCCGCTGAAACTCCGTTGGGTGGTGGGTGAGTTCGGTGGATGGGGATGCGTTTGGTGGGTGGGTGGCTGAGGATGGTCCATAGGCCGGAACGATTTGGTTGCCGGGGCAATGCGTAATATGCAGGGACAAAGCGGCGACTGTCTGCGGCAGACAACACCCTTGCCCCCCGAAACCCCCTCTCTCACCTCGAATAACCACCCAAAAACCACCCAGGAAACCAGGAACCACCCACTCCCTAACGCATTTGCACGCTTCATAAGCGCAACGAATGAATTTTAATTTGATTAAAGTGAAAAATTGAACAAGAAAGGAAGCTGGCTTCGGCCAGCCGAAGCTTATATACCCTCGTTTTTCCATAATTTTTTCACAAGAAAGAATAAAAAATTAACTGATGATAACTAAAGTACTCTTTTTCTGTTACCTTCTTTCAGGTTATGGCTGTGGCGAAGAACAGGCAGAAGGCCTGCTGCGAACTGATCTATCGACTCATCCGGGAAATCCACTTGGCATCAGCCGAGGCAGCGAACGTGGATACAGCGTTAGAACTTAAAATTAAGAATAGTTAAGGTATTAGACTCGCATCTAAGACTCACAAGACATAGATTGTAAAAATAAAATAAAATAACTATCGAAATTGTATGCTATAATTTTTGGGGGTTTCATGGGAGCGAAAAAAGAAAATTTGTGACATTTATACAGTCGAGTCCCGATAATTCGAAATGGCAAGGGGATCACTTTTTTTTGCGAATTAGACGGGAATTCGATATTTCGAGATTTTTTTCAAGGGATTTTTTTCAAGGGAACAGAATTTTTTACGAATTATCGCGATTTTCGATTTAGTGGGGTATGAATTATCGGGATTCGACTGTATTTCAAATACCAGGCCAACAGAATGCATTAGTTGGTGTTTTTTTGGCTGTGTAAATTTTCCACAAAAATATGTTGCTTACTTTTGGGGGCAAGTAAGAAATTTAAAAAAAATTTCAGTGGCCACCAATTTTATTTTTTTTTTTTTTAATTTATTTATTTAATTTATTTAGCTTACTGTCACTATTTATAGCGACTTATACTAAAGGGAATTACAGGTTCAACATAATATATACAAATGTACATACTTAAGCCTAGATGATAGGGTGGGTAAGTGGCCACCAAATATTGCGTTCTGTTCGCCTGGTACTTCAAAGTGAACTGACTGACTTGACTGAAAATTTTGGCTCATGCTCTTCCGATAAAAAAACAACGACGTTTTCATTTTTTCATTTATTTATATGTATACATTTTGTTCTTTCCTATTACAGCAATATGATATAGTAATCCGATATTTTACCATATAGTAATTTGTTTTCCTTTCCTGTTTCCTTCAATGCGTTGCAGACTTCTGACTTAAATTAGAATACCTTCTGCAAGGGTATAAAATGCTCCTTTCGGCAAGCTTTCATTCGGCGGACTCTATTAAACTCAGGACCCAAATTCGCCACCCTGTGCAAGGATGTACGGGGATTAGTTGGCCAATCAGCGGAGGCAGGCAACTGGGATTTTGTGGCCTGCTGCACAACCTCATCATAGATGAGGCGTTGCCATGGCTAGAAATTCTGCAAAGCGCTAGAAAATGTTGGAAAATGCCAAATGCCAAATGCCGATTGACGACGTCGTTGCTCCGCAGTATTTTCTTTGGTTATTCTTCCCTTTCCTTTTCCTTTTTTTGTAGAAACGGGGAATGGGTATAGGATTTCCTTCGAGGAACTTAGGCCGCATTAAACCTTTCTACCCAATATTGTTGTTGTGGCTGTTGTTGTTGTGGCTGTTGTTGTTGTGGCTGTTGTTGTTGTTGTTTTTTTTATGTTATTCAACCAGCGAACCGCCCTCGAAAAACGCTCAAAGAAGTCTCTTCCATGGCAGATGCTTAGCCCGGCTAAGAAGCATTCTCGTTCTGGTCGTCTGCTGGAATTACGCCGCTTGGATCTCAAGTGCTGCCACTTGCTGTTGCAGCAAATAAAACACGGCACACTTAGGGAAAATCTCTAAAAAAAAAAAAAAAAGAAATAAAGTAACAGGTGTACGAAACTAATTTTGCGGATGAAGCCTAAGTGTAAGCATTAGGTTTATATTTTTTAGCTGGGAGTCTTCTTTTAGATAACTGTTATACAAAAGATGTTGTATATATATTTTAGATTTTTTTATTTAAAACCAAGAAAGGAAGCTAGCTTCGGCAAGCCGAAGCCTATATACCCTTGCAGTTATAAAACATTTCGAACAAAATACATAAAGGCTAAACAACATCTAAGCTATGACGATTTCTCTATTATTTTCCATATTTTTGACTATTGTTCATATGGCAGCTATATGATATAGTCGTCTGATTTTCCTTCATGTTTTTAGGCCTAGAAAATAGTTGCATACCAGCTATTTTAAATTTCGAAAAATATTTTTTTTCGCAAATGTTATGGGTCTACCCCTTACAATTTTTTCAAAATCGAGTTTTCCATTTTTTCGCATCTTTCGTTCGGTAAAACCTGCATAAAATGGCCAAAAATGATTTTATCTTGACGGGGAAGGTGTTTTCTTTCATGTTTATAGGCCTAGAAAATAATTGCATACCAGATTTTTTAAATTTCGGAAAATATTTTTTTTTCGTATTTTTTTGTATTTTATTCTCTCGTATGGGAGGTATCCTATATAGTGGAATAATGGAATGGAATAGCTTTTTAAAGTCCTATCGTTGTAAGCTAGAAATAAATTTACAATACAAATAACTATGCTTAAATTCAATTAAATTTCAATTGTTTTCTCTAATCTTACTACAATTTGAAAAGTTTAGTCCCAAATTGTAGTCCGCAAACTAAAATCCTATTAAACAACAGCCTTTTATTGAGCCTAATTCTAAACAACTTAAGTTTATGTATATCCCTTTAGAAAGTTCCCAATATCTGCTCCAGTAAGCTTAATAAAATTCAAACGAATTCCCAAAATCGAAAGACATTATCGAAAACTTATTGGCGGCGCCCTTTTTGGATTAAGTTCGCTCCTGGTTGAAGACAGACTGAACTTCATAGTTGCAAATTGCCGGAGGCCAAAGAGACGCCATTCGAGTTGAACAGAATTTTGCACTGAACTCTAAACGTGCGGAGGTCCTGAAGCTCTATGTCCTTTTGGGGCAGGAGAAAGTGGGCATTGCGGTGGCGAATGCCGAGTTCCACTGAAGGCATTCACATGGGGCGCATTGTGAAGTGCAAAAAAGGCGTATTTTACAAGATTTTTATTACATATAAATGCGAAAAGTATTAAAAAAGTAAACTTTTTATAGACTTTTCATTTTCTCTCGCTTTTTTTCCGCTTTTGGGTGATGGGGGAGGGGGAGGGGTAGAAAGAGGGAGGGGGAGGGGGGAAGAGAAGGCTAAGTGCGGAACGAAAAAGAAGTTGTACGCTTTTTTGTCTGGGCGTCATGATGCGTGTTAAGGGAATACACACACCCGAATGGGGAAAACTCCATGTGGCATAGGCCAAGCACACACACACACACAGACAAACACACACACACACACAACCAGTTTGCCATGGAAATGCTTTCACTTGGCTACAAGGAGCACAAGGATAAATGCACTACGCTTATCTGGGGCGATCAATTGGATCTTTAAATTGATTCCGGCAAAAGTTCCCAACAAACTAAAATTTAATAAATTCCAAAAGAAAATAGCGAGCAAATTTTATAGCCTCAATATAATTACTCTGAATAACAGGGTGTTTATTATTTATTTATTAAATAACATCACAGTTAAATATAATTTATTTGGAATCTTTCAGCAATAATATTCACCTAAGTATGTAACATTTCCTTTGCATTATTCAAGACCAAGAAATTCAGACTGGGCATACTTTTGGGCATATTTTTTTCTAGATATTCTAGTTGTGAAATGTGCTAACACAATTTCCCATACAAAACCAAACTCCCCAGAGATTCTGGTTCATTGCAGCGCTCAAGTTTATCGAGACAGCCGAATTTCGACCGCAAATCTCCGCCGCTTTTCCTCTACGCCTCCGGCATTTTTTCCCCGCCCTTCGGTTTTTCCCCCACTCCTTTTGGTTTTTCGCTTTTTCCACTTGCTTCTGTTGCCGTTTCTTAATATTGCCGGGACTTTCCGGGGGAATCGGAGTGGCTTTTCCAACTGGGGATGTCGATGTGGAGTTGCTGGCGTTGTAACTGTTGTTCGAAATGTTTTCCACAGGCCGGAGTTGTCGGGTTTCCATTTTTTCCCTTCTTGGTTCTTTTTTTTTTTTTGTGTTACTACCGACTTTTCATATTTTTCTTAACAACTCGCTCGCCACCTCCGCACTTTTGCCGCCCGCCCGCCAGAACACTTTTAAATTTTATTTTATTACTATAACAAGACATAAGTAGGCATAATGGGGCCCTATAAAATATTTAAAAGGAAATTGGCATAGAAGTTTTCCAGCCGAGAGCAGATTTTGGTGGGGGCTATGGGTCTGGTTGCGGGTACGGTTACGTTTACGGCAACGTTTCCGGGTCCCAAGTACTTTTGCCCCATTCAGGCGGCCACTTCGAGGAACCCAGGAGCTGGCACCTCGAGCACCTCGAGGAGCTGCAAAAACGCGTGTCGGCCGATTAATGGTGCTCCTCATTGAGCGGTCTTTAAGGTTAATGCACTCCAAGGCGAGATTTTCCGGAGGGGAGAAGGTGGTGCTAACTACACCGAGAGAAAGGTGAGAAATTCACACTTGTGGTTGAATAACACCTCTCGTTTAATTTCAAATTTATTCCGGAAATATTTAAAAATGTTTCTGAAAAGTCACATATTGAAAACTGTTCTTTTGGCAACACTTAATCACTGATTTACGAATTTAATTTAATGAAAACGAACTTACTGGGCAGCATATATTTTCAAATAGTTCTTTTTGTATAACAACTTCAACAAGGATAAAAACACTTTCCGCAGTCAAATTGGGACGATTCCCAATTGTAGATACCAGGCAAAATTGGTTAGATTTTCACTTTAAGACACCTGGCGATCAGAAACGTGTAGCAGGTGGATATCGAAGTTAGTAAACACTAATTTACCAGTTGCATTTAAAAGGAAATACCAGGCGCACAGAAATGCCTGAAGGTGGTTACAAAATTCAAAACTTAAAATCCACAGCCCCTTAAGATAAGCAATGTATGGTATTAACGATCACTGCTAAATACGATCCACAAACGAGTCACACAAACTACGGGGTTTGAAACATGGATATGGATATTTGGATTTTGTTCGCCTGGTATTTGATTTTGACTGGTTCTTACAGTTTTTAAAATTATTTGTATGAGTTGAAGATTTTACTATCGAGCAGATAAAGCAAGATATAAAGAACTTTATTTTAAAGGGAAAAACCTAGAAACGGTTTAAGATATAATCACCATTTTCACTGAGTGATGATTTTTAAGAGCTGCCACCAGCGATTTGGCATTTTTCGACACTTCCAACCGTTGGCCAATTTGCCCCAATCCCTTGCCCCCAAATCTAATACCCCTAACTCCCCGTTGTCAATCATTTTCACAAACGATTTGTCAGCCAATGCCGCGATGCAAATAAGCCAAGACAACCTCGCCCACCGCTTACCAAGCCACCAAGCCACCAAACACCACACACCACCCACCACCCACCGCCCATCATTTCAGCGCCTAACTTGGTGACATTTTTTTTTTTTGTTCGTTGGCCGGGATCATCGCGATTTTTTACAACTTTTCATTTTTGCGCTTGAGCTGGTTTAACTGCCGAAATTGGCGCCCGAGGATAAACCGGATTAGGAGGATTCCGAATTTAGCAGCGGGAGCATTTGAAATCGCGGCATATGTGCCGCTGCAAAGCCCCCAAAATTCTTTGTGGAGCGATGGATGGTGGGGTGGTGGGGTGGTGGGGCAACTATTCAAATGAGAAGCTCACATCAAATGGTTTGGAAAATATGCCATCTATCGTTGGCTTTTATTGGCGCTCCGCCCGCTTTTTTAGCACCCGCAATCGCGAGTAGATGATGTCCCAGTCCAGATAGGCACCCACTATATAGCGCGGGCTCACTTCCGAATCGTCGTATCCGGCTCTTCCGTGGAGCAGCCGGATGTTGTTGAAGGTCAGCACGTCGCCGGGTTGCGTTTTGAAGGCGTGACTGTCGGCGATCGCCAGGCGGACGAAGCGGGCGTAGGACTCGTACCACGGAAGCACCTCCGAAAGTGGCACGTTGAAGTGGCTGTCCCGCTGCGGCACGCTGTGGTTCACCCGCGAGTACCGCCCCTCGGAGTCCAGGCTATGGGGGAAGAAAGAAAGGATATCTATTACTACCTTACCGAATTTACAATTAAAACGTTATAAATATTATTTTTTGGATATAATAAGTTACATAAGTTATTCCTGGATATTTTAGATAACTATCCTTCACACATTTTGAACCTTATAAAATACATATTTACAAAAAAAAAAAAATTATTTAAATTTTGGTAAATAGGATATAGAAAATGCAAAAATTGAAAGGGGGAAGCCCATAAAAATTTGGAAAAATTTATTTTCCGATATTTTAAAATTTGGAAAAAATTTATTTTCCGATATTTTTAAAAAAGATGAAAGAAAATGTCATCCCCGTTGATATAAAATGATTTTTGACCACTTTTTTTGGATTTTCCAAAAAAAAGAGCAAACAAATTTTAAAATAGATTTTAAAAAATGTAAAAAAATATTTGAAAAGCTTTTCTAATTAAATTATCGTGTGGTGCTCACCAAATGACCGGCGCCCGCCAGATGTTGTGGAACTCGCGGCCGTCCTCGCTTCCAATATCGTTCCAGTCGACGAGGACGCGGCTGAGTCGCTCGAAGTCCTCCGGATGCTCCCTGCGCAGGATGTCCGCGATGTGGAATCCATCGACGAGCATGTTGCTTCCGCCAGGCGAATCCGTCTGGACGACGCAGTGCAGGATGTTGACACTCGGCTTGTACTCGTAGTAGGGAAGGTCCGTGTGGAGGGGAAGGGGCAGGGAGAGGTAGGCGAAGTTCTGGGCACCCGGCTTCGCCTGCACCACGAACTCCTCACCGTAGGTGGTGCGCCGAATGAAGCCCACCCGCTCCGCCAGTCGCCGCACCACGCCCTCATCCAGTGGAGCTCCGCGGAGGAGAGCCACTCCATAAACAGCCAACGATTGAAGCCACTCCATCAAAACGGAGTCCTGGGTCATCACTTCGTCGTATTTGAAGTGCCTGGCAATCTCCTGGAACTCTGAACCTGACCAATGTCTAGTTGTTGGTCTGTAGAATTCCTGCAGATATTCTTTCTGCCTTTCCTCCTCGAAACTGCGATTCTTCAACCAATTTAGAGAGAATCTGCTCACGTGGTTGTCACTCCACTTCACTGAGATTTCTTTAGCAGCCTCATCTGTTTTTACTTCCACAGGTTGGATCCTCGTATCAAAGTTATCCCAATCCAACTTACGCGACTTGGAACTCCCATGAAAGCAATCTTCGCACAAACAATTATCCCTCAGCCAAACTCCCGGAAAAGTCAGCGATTTTTCATTCTTCTGCGGCTGAACTTCAACATTAGTTTTATTTACGATTCTGGCGCTGATTTGCCGGCAAAACTGAGCGGCATTAATAGTTTTCACTTGATTGAGGGAACGTCCCACTAATTTCTGCACCCACATGTTGAAAATAAAAACAAAACAAAATTAATTCTAGCAGCCCGCGTGTCGGTTGATCAAGCTTCAAATGCCGAATGAGCCGGCGGAGAAAGCGAAATAATATAATCAGCAGCTAAATCGGGTCTTTGGACTTTGTCTGCCAGCTCACAGAAAGTGAAACAAGGGCGTAGGCGTTCCAGACTCATAAATAAAAGGAATTCAATTGAATTTTGTTCCCAAAAAGTATTCATAAATAAAGGTCAAGTACTTTTTATATTATTTTAAGGGGTAAAATATTATTTAGAAATTTAATTACCATACTAATGTACTTTTACTTATTTTAAGACTTAATTGATTTGCTTAATAACTTGAAATACTTTTATTACACGTTTTTAAAAGTGTTAGTTGTTATTATAAACCTTTTCGAATATAATGGTATTATTATGTGTCCCCCTCAAAAAACATTTCTACGCCCCTGGTTAAGAGCAGAGTGTTATCAACGAACTAGTTCCCATGCTAGAGCACATATGTTTATTTGTTTATTTTAGCTTTTGAAATGTAAGACACCCCGCAGAAGTAAAATGCGATAAGGTTTATCGTTGTCACCTAACAGAAAGAGATTTCTGTTTATCTTGACAAAATTCGAAACGATTATCCAACATTGTATATTAAATACAAATTGTGCAATTTATTACGAATTTCCAGTGCTGTTTATTACTGCCATTGATCGCTTCATTTGCACAGATTGTGACACAATTTGCGAATATTCCCCAGCAGCCCTATAATCAATTTTCCCCGCTGTAAGCCAATTCAGCTAATTTAAAGTTGTAAGTCAATCTGGTGATTGCCCGCCTGTGTTTCTATATGTTTTCTCCTGATGGAGTGCTAGGCATTCCGTGGCTGAATTAGCATCTTGGAGCCGAGTCTCGAATGCCACCCAGCATTTGAGTTGCTTGACGTCACCGGCGCTCTTTTTTTTTTTGACTGCGAAGAAGCCACTTTTCCCAACGACTCAGCGACTCAACGACTGCTGCTGCTGCTGCTGGCTGTGGCGAAGCGGTCAATCAATCAATCAATCAATCAATTGAATCATCTTTGTCCGGCTGCGGGCCATTTCAACCGGCGACCGAGACTGAGACTGAGATACCGAACCTGAGCTCCGGGCAAAGAGCCTTTAAAGGGCCTTCCCTTTCCCGATTCTCGTGAAAGCAATAAAAATTGCAGCACCTTCTGCGGGCAACGCTGACCTGTTGCACAATTGAATGGGAGCAGTTGCAACTCGCAAGGGCGGTGCAAGTGGGAGGTGCACTTGAAAAAAGTAGAGTCATTAATATGAAATTGAATATATATTTTAGAAATTCATGTTTCAGTTGGAAAACATATAAAACATCCACTTGAAAGAAATTGCAGGTTTGAAGTCCATTAAACTTAAATAAATTAACAATATTATAAGAACAAAATAAATATTTAAAATATAAAAAGTTAAACTGCATTAAGCCTAATTAATGCACTATAAATTTTTGACAATATTAAATTGTGATTCTTTTGAAGGAATATGTTTTGCAAATGATTTTCTTGTCTTCAATGAATTATTTGAAATTTGTATAATATATCAATGATTTTGATCCCTTTTGATTTGTATTTCAAGGGATCTTATTGCTGAAAACAATATGGGAATTAGTTTTCGAGTGCAGGTGCAGCTGGATGGTGGATGCTGTATGCTGGATGCTGGATGCTGGATGGCCAGTTGGTGCAGTTGACCAGGGTCCGGCGAATGCCCAAATGTCTGCCCGTTCTGACCATTTAAAGCGCGGACAATAAATTCTTCATGCGAGTTCGCTGCTGCTGCTGCTGCTGCTGCTGTTGGTTCCTTTCGGCCTTCTGGTTTTCTGTTTTCTGCTTTTCAGTTTTCTGCTTTTCAGACTTTTGCCGCCGGAGGCTTTTGGAAATGTTGCAGAAATTCCCAAGCCGGCGGCCATAAAAATGCGGCTCACATGTGACAACGATTTGTACTTTAGCCCCTTTTATGGCACTCGATGGTTATTCTTGTTGTTGTTGTTGTTGTTATTGTTGGTGGTGGTGGTGCCTCCTCCTGTGACTGTTGCATTTTAAAAGGCGACTCATTCGTATTCCCCGCCGCCAGCGCCAACGGTCCGCTTCACAAATCTGAAAATCGCATCAGATTATACGAGTTATGCGATGCAGCCAACAGCCAACAGCCAACAGCAACAGGCTTCCATTTTGGTCATCAGCCGTTTTGTCGTTTTTGTAGGTCATCGTACCTCCTCCTCCTGCTCCTCCTGCTCCTCCTGCTCCTCCTGCTCCTCCTTCTCCTTTTTGGCCAGCGAAAAGTATGAATACCCCAAAAGTATGAATACCCAATCCCCAATCTACAATCCCCAATCCCACTTAATTTAAGGATCCGAAATCCCCGCCCACTCTTTGCCAATTGGGTCAATTAACACTGACGACCCTCGAGGTTGCTATCTCCTTCTCCTTCGGTTACATAAAGGTCCTCCTTCAGTTTTATGATGTGGTGCTCCGATTCGGTGAGCGATGGATGATTATCCTGTCACATGACAGGACCTCTCCCCGTTGAAACACAATGGACCGCCACTTAAGGCGAATCCTTGAGCTCGTCCGAAAATGTTAACAGTTTTCGTTTCATGTAATTAAGTGCTGCTACTGCTGATCCACTAGTTTTTATTATCTTTAAGGCTGAGACTGAGACTGAGACTGAGACCAGAACCCGAAGCGAACCGAACTGAACAGAACCGAACCGAACTGAACTGAACTGAAGTGAACCGGATGAAAAGGAAAAGCTTTTTGGCTTTCCACGCGGCGAAAGCAAAACAATGGAGGAAATGGGTGGATGTCGGATGGCTTTGGATGGGATTCTGGCTGGGGATGGGGATGGGGATTGGAATGGGGATGGGGATGGGGAAAGAGATGGGGATGGAGGGGTGTGGAGGGGGGTTCCGGGTGGCGCTCTGTTTGCAAACTGTCTGGGCGAGACAACGTTGTACGTGCGGACGATGTCCGCCGGTCCGAGATCCGGCATTCTGATACCCGTCGAAACAACAGGGTATGATCCTATGTGCCACTCGATTTGCTGTCCACTAAGGATATATAATATATGTATATTATTGATCCTAAATAAAAACCTCATTGGGAACAACTCAAATCGAATAAGTTGGATAAGTAATTATCCATATTAAATAACATCACTTTACAAAACTATTTTACAAATTCGTGGTACTTAAAAAGCGAATTTTAAGACCCTGAAAAATATGGCGATAATAAAAATCGCATGACCAAAAGCCAAACTGAATACCAAATGAATTATAAGTGTTTTATAAGGATAAATATTTCGCAAATATTTTTAGATAATTAATAAAGTATTTCCTTTACCAATCACTTAATAATATACTTTCCAAACTACACAAACTTCCACTTATACATCAATCAAATAAATTAGCTAATAAAATATTTTTCGTCCTAAATATAATCATTCTATATCAGTAAAGAACCTTAACCGATGCAAACATGCACTCTTTTGTGTTAAACAAAGTTGTTTATCCTTGGTAATAAGTAGCGGATATCTGGCAGTCGATCAGCCATTAAGAGCTCTCACTTTCTTGCTGCTTGTGCCTCTGCTGATTGCACTCCAGTTGGCTAAGGACGAAGGACGAAGGACGAAGGACGAACGACTCTGGCCCGGAGCGGACCAAAAAATGTGTTAAGAGTCTAAACACGAACGTGCCGCTCAAAGGCCACTCGTTAAGAGGCGTCGGCGAAAGGGGTTCCCCTCCGCATTTCTCCATTCGCAGTTCGCAGTTCGAACTTCCTGCCGGAATATCTGTATTGGCATGGACAGCAGCTATTGGTAAATATTTTCACTGCTTGCGACAGGACAGCCCCACAAGATGCACCCACTAAAAAGGGGCAAAAGATGAGGATTGAGTCCTTGGGGAATGGCGCCCAACCAACTCCATGCACGGCTTCATATCCCATTTTTCTAGGGTTTTTCCCTTTTTTTTTGTATTTTTTGGGCGGGGGGAAACGAGCCTTTTTGCAGGTGGCCATCTGGAGGTTGCATCCTCCAAGATGCCAGCGAGTCTGCAGCCATTTCATTTGGCTGCTTATTTTATTGCCCCTGAGCCCAGTCAGATAGACAGACAGACAGTTGGCAAACAAACAGACAAACAAACAAACAGAAGGTTAGGCCAGATTCTATACGTACTTTTTATTTTTCGGGCTCCAATGGAGTCTTCATTACGAATGCGGCAAAAGGGGTGAGAAAACGGGGGAAGTGCAATTCATTGCCCAAGACATTCGGTGTGGCACAGCCAGCTGGCTTGGCACTCATCCGAGATCCTTGGAGGTGACTTGCAACCTTGCAACCTGTTACCTTACTACCTTGCAACCTGCAGCAAGTGCCGCATTCCGAGGGGAAATGCAGGTGCCGCTGGATTTCAGTTACTCCCGGAAAAACGCAGCTTAGCTCAGAAGGAGTACGAAATTCGCGGAAGGGACGTCAAGTTAACTGAGGAAAATGAACTCGAGAAACGCCAAAGGATTCCGCAATTCGCGTTGTCCTACAAAAAAAAAAAAGGAAACCGAAGCTGGAGCCGCTTATTTTGTGGGAGAAATACTTTGTCAAAAGTAACTACATTATATTTCATTTTTTACTTGAAGAGCAAAAACATATGATTAACATTATAAAAATAATTTACATTTTTAATTGCACTCAAATCAAAACAAAAACTATTTGGACCGAGGAAATTTAATTATGGCGTGTTTTAAATTTTACAACAATTCCAGCAATTGTTTTTTAGTTATATATAAATAAACAGTTCAGTTCAAGGAATTTTAAGTAATCTGCAAACAAGAATTGCAATCACAAAACAATAAACAAGTTAAACAAAGCATTACATTTGCTTGGGCAATGTTTCTCCTAGCCTTATTCTATTTAATATTATTATTCCATAGTCATAATTGTTTTAAATAATTATTCGTTTAGATTTTTCCTAATTCTTTAAATAAAGTCACGAATGCACTGATGCTTTACCCATCATTTAAT